AACTTCGCCAGCAGATATCCGAGCTTACAGCGCAAGTAGGAGCCCTCGTCTCCCGACCTGCTGGCCCCCACCGGAGCTGCTCAACCTCCCAGCCACGATACTCTTCGTCTCCTAGGCGTCCACGCTAGAACAACGAATGTTTGTGCTTGTATCACAAGGACTTTCGGTGACGACGCTCGGCGATGTCACCAACCTTGCTCGGCGTCGGGAAACAAACTTGTTGACCACTAGAGGCATCTAGTGGTGGCAACCTGCAACCCAGTCGTCTGTTTTTTGTCATCGATCGTAATACAGGATTACGTTTCTTTATCGACACAGGGGCTGAGGTGAGTGTTCTACCAGTGTCATTTGACACCTCAAAACGTAGGAAGAAAACTCCTTACATTTTACAGGCTGCTAATAAGTCAGCGATTGCGACTTACGGAGATCAATCCCTGGCGCTGGACATCGGCCTTCGAAGAACATTCCGTTGAATATTTCTAGTTGCAGACGTTTCGTACCCCATATTGGGTACAGATTTTCTTCGGCGTTTCGACCTGCTCGTGGATATGCACAGCAAACGTCTCGTGGATAATACCACCAATCTAGCCGTTAATACAATCATATGCCAAAAACCGCATATCGAAGCCGCCATTCATTTCCTTCCACTCTCGAGGTATGAAGCGCTTCTAAAAGACTACACGCAACTAGCATCGCTTAATAACTTTGACACGCCGGTGAAACATGACGTTGAACACCACATGGTCACCACGGGACTGCCAGTATATGCTCGCCCTATAGACGCTTGCCTCCAGCGCGGCTTAAGATTGCAAAACACAAATTTGCACATATGTTAGAGCTCGGTATTATTCGGCCCTCCAACAGTCCATTGGGTCCCCACGAAAGAACCGGGGGACTGGCCACCATGTGGAGATTACCGAGCTCTTAATAATGCGACCGTCCCTGACAGGTACCCGCTGCCACGCATTGAGAATTTTAATCACTTCAAGGGTCCAAGATTTTTTCAAAAGTGGACCTCGTGAAGGCATACCATCAAGTTCCAGTGGCACCGCAAGATATTCCCAAAACAGCTATAGCAACCCCATTCCGCCTGTTCGAATATTTTCGCATGCCATTTGGCTTGAGAAACGCTGCCCAAACATTCCAACGATTTATCGACACTGTGGTTCGCGGCCTCACATTTGCTTCGCTTACCTTAATGACATTCTGATATTCAGCGCGAACGAACAACAACACGAGCAACATCTTCGCATACTCTTCGATAGACTTGTCAACAACGGCATCACCATTAACAAAAGCCAGTGTGTTTTCGGCGTCGGCGAGCTAGACTTCCTCGGGCATCACGTTGACAGCCAAGGAATTTCTCCCTTGCTTACGTAAATGGAAGCTATCACCAATTTTCCTCCACCGTCGAACATTCGCAAACTTCGTGAATTCCTCGGTCTAATTACTTTCTAGCGAAGAGTTATTCCAAAATGTGCTCACACCCTTAATTTTTTAACTGAAATTCTGCAGGGCAACAGAAGGGACTCAAAACCGTTGGTGGGGACAGAACAAACTTCCCATTCTTTCAAACCCCCAAATCAAGGAAGACCTCACATCAGCTACAATCCTGCTTCATCCCCATCACGACACCACAATTAACGTCATGGTTGACGCATCAAATGAAGCCAGAGGAGCTTTGTTGCAGCAATATGTCAAGAGCAAATGGCAACCCCTAGCATTTTTCTCAAAGAAGCTGACACCGTCCGAAACGAAGTACAACACTTTTGGCCGAGAATCACTGGCGATCTACCTGGCCATAAAGCACTTTCGTCATTACATCGAATGCCGCAAATTCCACGTACTTACAAATCACAAACCCCTTAAATTTGCTTTATCATCAACGAATGACAACAACTCCCCTCGCGAGATTCGTCATATGGCTTTCATATCCGAATTTACCACTGACATTCGTCACGTGATGAGCGGCGTAGACAACAATGTGGCAGACGCTCTCTGTCGCATCGTCATGGCTTCGCATGTTTTGCTACCACCATCTGTTGATTACCAAGCCTTGGCACGACAACAGGCAGATGATCAAGAGCTCAGCAAGTTTCTTACTACATCTCCTCATCTTATCTTCGAGCAAATCCATTCAGAAACGCGCGGCGATACAGTTGCTTGTGAGATGTCGACAGGCACTCCCCACCCTTTCGTTTCATCCAGTTTCCGGAAACAAATTTTCGATTCCTTCCACTGCTTGTCACATCCTGGAATACGCACAACACGACGACTTTTTACTTCTAGATTTATCTGGCCTAACCCTAACCGCGACGTCAGGGCGTGGTCCCGAACATGCCTCCAGTGCCGACGCTCAAAGATAAGTCGATACACAGTTGCGCCTTTCTCTTCCTTTACCCCTCCCGACCTTCGACTTGACCAGATCCATGTAGATTTAGTTGGACCGCTGCCACCGTCGAATGGTTATACTTACTTGCTCACCTGCATTGACCGTTTTACACGTTGGGCCGAAGCCATCCCGATCCAGGACATCCGTGCAGAAACGGTCACCCAAGCTTTCGTCAGCGGCTGGGTGTCCAGGTTCGGCGTGCTTTCATACCTTACAACAGACCGCGATCGCCAGTTCGAGTCTGCTCTTTTCCGCGAACTCATGACCATCTTATGAAATTCGCGGATTCGTACAACAGCATATCACCCTATATCTAATAGACTGGCAGAGCGATTTCACGGCTCACTCAAAACCGCACTTCGGGCCCAAGATACAGGACCGAACTAGGATTCCGCACTCTCTATTGTTCTTCTAGGGCTTTGCACAGCCTTGAAGACTGACTTCGATTGCAGCACTGCAGAAATGCTCTACGGTATGATCTTACGACTTCCAGGAGAATTTTTTTTCAAACGGACCGGAAGATCCAGTACCGGATCCTACGAGCTACGCGACGAAATTGAAGCGGATAATGCGCACCATCCGACCTACCCCTCCCCGCCCCCAACAACGGTCAGCCGTCTATGTCTCAACCGATCTACATTCATGCACACACGTTTTTCTTCGTCGCGATGCTGTGCGAAGGCCACTTCAGGACCCTTACGATGGCCCAAATCGAGTCATAACTCGTGGCGATAAACTTTTCACGATTGATATTAATGGCCGACAAGAAGCTGTATCTATTGACCGCTTGAAATCAGCCCCAAGAATCGTCGCATGAAGCACATACCCAATCTCTTGACAACACTGCTATCTTTGCACGATCACAGGACCTTGCTTCTTCACGCGACGCCTCAACACAGCCACGAAGCTCCCGCGTACGTTTTCTGCTACCACATGCCCAGACATCATGAACATTCCCTGAACATGCTCTTATCTGTATCTTTTTTAAGAGGTGGGGGGGGGGGGGGGGCTATTGTAGCGTGCATTTTATGATTCATATGCCGGGACAACCATGCTGCTGCAAGAGCTCGGGCTCGTCGCGCTCGAGCTACGAGCACCGACTGTGAGATAGGAAGTATCCACTGGCGGCCATAGCTGTGTGCGCGACTGCTGAGCGCGGGCTGATGGCGAGCTTCCACAGTTCTTTTGTAACGTGCATTTCACACCCTCAAGATTGCCGGTCTTAGCAGCCTATTAATGTCGGCTCGTTCCCAGCGTGCGCTCTAAACAGAACCTACAAATATGGCGCCCAGTGAATACTCCTTATAAATGCAGCTTTTATCGTACCAATCGGTCCACCAATTTTTGTGTCTCTACAATGTGTTTCTTTTCTCGCATCTGCCGGTTGTGGGGTGAGCTTCCCTTCTCCGCCATTTTTATGCCTAGCATTTCTTTGTTGATATTCTCTATTAACGTTTCATCACTTTTCTTGACAGGAACAATGTATCTGCTGTTTCTTTCGAAACAAAGTTTGGAGTGTCGTTTCTCCTTTTTTTTTCTTTTTGTGGCAGTGGCTTATACGGAAAGGGGAGCGCAAATGATACTTCAAAAACAGACTTAAAAGCGCCATTTTTTAGCTCGATCAAAATAACCGAGAGGCGTGTGTGGAAGATGGTATTTATACTATTGTGTCAATAAAGTTTAGTAGCTGGGTTTGAGACGTTTTGTGTTTGCCCCTTTTTTCATCCGTCGTTTCCGGTTTTTCAAAAATGTGTAACATAAACAAGTTCACCTTTCTACTCACTATCTTCAATCGATCTACTTCACCGCAGTTCATTGCATCCAACACAATCTATGTTCGTTTTCAACGACTGGAGCTAGGCAATATTTTCACAACCGAGTTTTCCATCTCGCCGCGTAATTTACCTTTGCGTTTCGTATTGCATGTTCAGCTAGAACAGCATATTTTGGAGTAACGCGATTATGCCAATGACGCCGCTACTGCACACTCAAACACCATGCTGATTGGACATGACCACTGACGACTGCTCCGTTTTGTAGAAAGGAACGGATAAAAAAAGCGGTATACGAAAACCTCCCTAGTTGTTTCGCATAAGAAGACTGTTTTCTCACATTTCACCTACAGTATTGGTGAACCCTACTTTATAAAACTCCTACTTTATAAAAACTTTTACGACATATTTAGTACTATGAGGAAGTACGATCACAACAACATTAAAAAAAAAGAAAATTATTGAAGGCATCGCAGTGTAGTTGGAGGTATTTTTAATAATGAAACTTGTTGCTTATCTTTACATTAAATATCTAAAATGTGCTGACAATAACAGCAGGTTCCAGGAGCGATGTATTGTAAAATCTGATCGTGCTATTTTGCATGAAAGTTGAAAATATGATTTGATTTGAATCTGAATGATTTAGATTCAAATTAAATTAAAAATTAACATTAAAGAATTCAAGATTACGTCTTTAAAATCGTTTTGGTTTTTGACTTTACTTAGAATATAATACCTAAATACGTACATACTTAGTATCAATATAATGATTTCTGTTGTTTTAAAACAAAGCTATATGATGTTTCTCTTTCTCATAATTTTTTTTTTTTTTGCAGGCAAACGTTGTTGAAACATGTACGCTCAAGTGCAAGAACAAGTCAGATATTCAAGTAGAAAATGGAGCAATGTGCGCGGTGAGGCCTTTTTTTTAAATTTACAGTGTTAATTGAAACGGGACCAGCCATAAATTAAGTTATACACGCTTTGCAGCAGCTGTGCATGGGCGCCGCCATAACTGACCTTCAGTTTTTGTTCCCTCTTACTCCGTTCGCTTCACTTCATCATTACCACAGCAGGACCGGTTGTCGGCATTTTAGATGCTACTGTGTTCTTGTGCCCAGCATAGGCCCTTGTGAAGACCCGTCAACGCCCGCTTCAGTGGCTCGGCATCTCGGTAAGACAAGAGAAGGTCAGCTATGGCGGCTCAATCTGGCGCGTGTGTAAAGCGTCTATAACTGGCCTTGATTCCACAGTCGTGTTTTCGACAGTGATCTTTTTGGAAACTAGCTTTCTAAGACTATCGCAATCTTTATACCGAAGTGTTTTCCAGTGTAATTGATAGCTCTACTGTAAAAACTGGTCACCACAAAATACATTAAAAATCATTGTTACCCTGTAATATAAGTCATTTCCGTTAGTTTGAATAGCTGGAATTCCAAATTGTTTAAATGACTTGGCGACACCTTTTCACTATATCTACAGTGAACTTGCAAAGAGTACCTGGGTGTCATACGAATGAGAAACGTCTCTTGCGCAGAATAAAAAAGAAAAGTTTTGCAAGGAATACACTATGTAGCAAAGATAAGGTTTTCACGTGATCTTTCCTAGCTGGCTACCTCAGTATTTCTCACGAACTTGTAACACGCGTGAGCATTTCTGATTACCCATTTCAGATGTTGAGCAGTCAAATATGAGAAATTTTTACGATGCCTTGAACATGTTGCATTTTGCAAACTGTAGTAGATTTGTAAACCCCTAAATATGTTAAAAGTCGCCATTGCAGAAGTGCCACATTATGGCTTAATATAACCGACTCTTAGACCTAGTAAAAATTTTATACTACGTAGCTGAACATAGTCAACGTGAGGAATGTTGGTTCGTACGTACATAATAGACAATTGGGCAAGTTGGTAGTGTTAACCATAACTTACAGCGCGACTGGGATAAAGACAGAAAGAGGAGAAAACCTGTGTTTTCTCCTCTGTCTGTCCTTGTCTCAATCGCTCTGTAAGTTATGATGAACTCGTACCTACATTTACCACTGACGAGATTGGGGTTGTTTGTAAAACGTATTCTAGCATAAAACAAAAATTGTGCTGTTATAATATGATGCGCGACCGGCAGCGACCCAGGACGTGATCACTTAATACTCTAGTTACACTGGCGGTTTCAACCGTCATTAAGCCAACGATAGTTAACTCAAGCACGATCGGCCGGAATTATACACTAGTTACACTAGCGCTCTCACCCAACTCTCTTTGAGCTCAACTAAGTTGTCTGGTGTTACACTGTACATAGCCTAACAAACCCAGTTGAGATGCGCGTCACGGTACACAATATAAACCGGAAGGAAACTAAAACTGATGTCCCATTACCTTTATTTTTAAGCGGTTCAAATGAATTATATGCATACTTTTCATTTATTATGAACGCCTAAAACAAAATCAAATTAACTTTTAGAGCGCAGCTCTTAGGCGCCCGTTTCCGGCTTGAGCGGCGTCGGCGTAACCGAGGCCACCCCAAGGTCACCCCAAGGTCACTCACATAACCCCTCCCAAGGTTGCCCCAAGGTCACGTGACCCCCCAAGGTCACCTTAAGGTCACGTGACCCCCACGTGACCCCACAAGGTAACCCTGGGTCACGTGACCCCCCGAGGTCACGTGGCCCCCCTCCCCGAGGTCACGTGACCCCCCCTCCCCGCGAAGTCACGTGACCCCCCGAGGTTACGTGACCCCCCCCCTCCCCAGGTCAGGTGACCCCCCCCGGAGCATATTAAAGAATGAGGGGAGGAGGAGGGGTCTACCCTCCCCTCAGTGCCCTTCCCTCCTCCTCCTCAAGAGCTGGGCTCCAATTCGGCGTTACAGGGAGTTGTAGACGGCTTTCACTTTTTTTTTTATTTTTTTTTTAGAATAAATAAACGACTATCAGAAGGTTTCACTATTATTCAAGCAGGAGTGAAATAACGAAAGTCATCATCATCAGCGCCGACATCACAATGGCCGCCTTCGCCGAGTCTTGGCTCTCGCGACGTGCCGTGATCTTTCTAGAGGCAGCTCTGGCCTCGAATCATACCTCTTACAACAATATTTGCTGCTACGAAACTTTCTAGATACTTACCCCAATCTTCTGCAATAGTAAGTGTTGTGTGTTCGAAGACCTTTATTCAACTGTCCGCTCTCCGGCACCGGTCGTGCCGAGAACAACTCAAAGTGCCGTGATCACAAGATTTTGGACGGCCACCGCCTCCGCGCTCGCAGCGGAGTCTCGACACCACAGTAAGTGCTTCGCTGGTACTAACGATGGGCAGCGATGCGGTGGACACCGCCGTCTTTATCTCTATCGGGAAAAAACCCTATCAGTTTGGTGAGGTATAAGGCAGCTCAGTTGAACTTAATGTTCATTAGCGGCTCTATGACAGTTGGTGCCGCCGTGTAACTCCGGCCGATCGCGATTGAGTCAACTGTCGTTGGCTTAATGACAGTTAAGATAGCTGTAGTGTAACTAAGGTTTAATACGGCAACGCCAACTGTCATTGAGCGGCCATCGATCATTGAATTCAACAGCTGGTTCAATAGAGCTGGCCTAAAGCTTAAGACGGCGGCTTCCGCATTGTCGCCGTCCATGGCCAGTGCCAGCGGAACATTTCTTGCGGAAGATTGGGGTGGTATCTAGAAAGTATCGGGTAGCAGCAAATATTGTCTGAAGAGGTCTGATTCGGGACCAGAGCTGCCGCTGGACGATCACGGCACGTGACAAAAGCCAAAGCTCGGCGGGGAGGGGGGGACGGCCATTGTAATGTCGGTGCCGATAAAAATTTCGTTGTGTCGCTCTTGCTTTAATTCGTGTAAACCGTTCTGCTTAAAAGACAAAACGAAAAAAAAGAAAGAAACAGCGCTGTATTTATTCTTTAACTATGTCGCTGTTGTTATCTTTTAAGTATGTCGTACCAACTCGCCCAAGCTTCAACCTTAGAAATGTTCTTATTGTCGTTTCTTTACTAAAAAAATCATTTTATTTAGTTTAAGCGTTTATAATGATTGAGAAGTGTGTATATAATTCATTTGCAGCGCTAAAAAAAAGGGTAATGTGAGATCAGTTTTGGTTTCGTTTTGGTTTCAAATGTGTCCTTGACGCACATCTCAACTGGGGTTGCTAGGCCTATGGACTGTGTAACACCGGACAACTTAGTTGAGCTCAATGACAGTTGGAAAACGCCAATGATCGTTGGCTTAATGAAAGTTGAGAGCGCTAGTCAAACTCTGCTATAAGAAAGTTTGTTTAAAAGCCGGGCTGTGTGTGCGGATCCTGGCGCTCGGTGGTCAGGCGCGCCACAGCCCCAGCGCCGTCGTCTTCGTTACAGCACATCCATATTTTATGAGACTTTATTCAATCGCTAACTGCTTTCAAATATTTGTCACAGAAAAATTAAAATAAATATTTTTTCTTTATCGTTCAAATACCATTGTGTCTATTTAATTTATATTTTACCTGTTCAGAGGCTGAGTAACGAGAATGATATTTGCGAGCAGCTACACCCTAAAAAAGGTCTGTGCGTCTACTTTCACGCACAACAATTGGAGAACCAATCAGCGCAACTTACGGAGTCAGATTGGCTCTCCGAGGGTTGTGCGGGTAGACGCACAGACTTTTTTTAGAGTGTATACATGATCGGCTACTTCGTTTTAAATTTGAGAATAATCTATACATCATTTTTGGTTATATTGAACACAAATTTATTTGACACTTCGTTTGTTGCGTGGTTTCAATTAGCATAGTTTACGTGCGCTTGGCCTTCTCCTGATTATTTACTTCTTTCTTTGAAGTTGGAGTCATGTCTTTCTCGTTCTATTGGTAACGTGGCAATGTGTATCCCTGAATAAAGGCTTTGATTAATATTTCTGAAATTGAATTGTAATTAGGTGCATAAAATAATATTGAATGTCACCTTCTGCTTATACCATTCGTTAACTTCGCAGTTTTTCTATTTTTAATTTTAAAGTGTAGCACTCTTGCGCATTTGTTTCCATGCAGTGGACACAGCATGAATATTGAAAAGTAATTGAATAAGCAAATATAAATTTGTTTTATTTTACCTGGCACAACAATTATGCACCTATTTTTTGCTATTTTATTATGGTGTTAGATATCTTCATAAGGAAATACGTGAATAATATTCTAGTTCAGAGCTCTCCGCCAGATGGAGCAGAGCATCCGGGCGGCGGGAAGCTTCGTACACCGCTGCTTTTGTTTATATTTTGAAGCGGTAACGCCAACTGGGAACCTCCCACCTCATGAGGTTAATAACGCAGGGAAACGACATTTATACAGTAGCAATTGTAAGGGGGTGCCGGGAGAGTTTTTAATATTTCTGTCCTCGTGCGTTAATGTGAAAAATAAATGGTCGAAACGGATCTTTGCTTGCCGAACTTTTCTGAAGTTATGGTTTGGTAGAAACCACCAAGAGCACATTGCACCCCGACTAGTGCTTTTTCTTTTAGACGATATAAAAACTATTGGTGCGATATTTGTTTAGAATAGTTCTGGATGCATATCTGTAACTGTTTGCGAGTAATATTATGATTTTGACATTTACTTTTTACACCCTTTATTAATACTTGTATGTATATCACATGTCAGAATGTTCTCTCATATACATCATTAAATATTTAGGAATAAAAGTTTATAGAAGTTCACTTGCAATCTGATGAGTGTGAAATCAATGTCATTAAGCTTAACATCGCAATGATGTTTTTACAGTTACGAACTCCAAGTATAAGCCGAATTTTGTCATGGTTTTGGACGCCAGAAACATTCGTGGAAGAAATTGGTATCTGCCATAACGGGACTTGCGTTCATCGAGGCAAGTTTGACGATTTATAGCCATAGATACGAATGATTTTTGTTTGAATTGCGGGTAATTCCGTTGACGGAATAGAACGTTCCTCAGCTAGGAAGAAGACCTGCCTTTACGGGATATTTTCTCCCGAATCGCCACTTCGCCAGCTCTTCTTTCATGGCACCCAATTTTCTTCTTTTTTTTTTTTAGATTTTAACCTGTCATTTATTGTTTTGTTTCCTGTAAAATAGAGGAAATGTTCTCAGGAATGATGAGTGACGAGACGCTGAGAAACATAGAAAATTAAAGACATTTATTAGGTAAACTTAGCACGGTCAACAAATAAAGATTATACTTAACTGACGTAAGTATCGTTGATGTTGGACTATGTGCTCAATTGATCGTTAGCCAAAGAGTAACTTGATTGAGCAGGCTACGTTTATTTTTATGACGGTTACGGGCTAAGAACTCACGGTACGTTTCGAGGTTGTATTGTAAGGTTTCGGTATCGTTAAGATATTCCAGCGATATTTGAACTTCTGCCTTTTTTTTATGTTAATATATCGTCAGTGGGTCGGGCTACTCAGTCACAAAATATTGACGCATTATATTTTGATTCAATTCGGAAAAAACAGCGCAACGTCTGGCGGCGCTAAGGTGTGTTCAATAAGTGCAGCTAGGGGCATAGTGGTGACGTTGTAGTAGGTCGATTGATCGGCGTTTACAAGAACCATCACCGTTTTTTTTGGAAGGCGCAATTAAGTGCATTACTATGCAAACTGTCGTTATTCTTTAAAATAATATTTTTATTAAACGAGAAAGATTAAATAGAAGAATAAATTGTTTTAAATTTACTGAACACAAAAACACTCCATCGATACGTCCGCGACGTCCGCCTCCCAGCAACGAAACCAGCTAATCACATTCGGGAATTGAGTTGTCGCCCATTTCTGCGTTTTGAATCTATTTTTTTTTTGCCGTGTGTCGTGTGCTGTTCTTGCCAATCAACTTTGTGTTCTCGTGTTTGTTTTCTGTTTTTTTTTCGTGTTGGTTTGCACGTCCGTGAGCTTGATTTGGCGAGTCCGTGCGTGGACGTGGACGGCTACCCGAGTACGCGCTACCCCTTGAAGCTTCGTAAGCCTGAGGAGCCGAGCGCGGCTGTCCGGGTTGTCAAGATAAGCTTGAAGCTGGATGACGCGCCCGAGGTAAAGGTCATTAAAATTTAGGACGACCTCATGCATAGGCTATGTATGATCATGTGCTAGTCGTACATGCCGGCAGCCGTTCTCGCTCATAACAACGAATACCAAGTGTCCACTCGTCCATCAAAGCCGGCCTGCGGATTCGCGCCGAACGACTTCGATGGGCGTGATATCGTTATTTTTTTCCACCGACATGGTGTGGCATTTGATAGAAAATAAACGTTTACTTGCATTCGTTGTCTCGTTCATCTGCTTCTTTTTTGAACCTATCACGTTGCAGCTAGCCCCTACCCCGAATCGCTGCTTTGATCACGCCGATCGCATTGGATTCCATCAGTTAAGGTTCAATCCGCCTGATAACTGTAGGTTCCCCAGTTTTAAACACAAAGATAACGTCCTCCCGAATGATACCATATCTGTAAGCATGTCATCGTGGGCATGATTTTCGGAGGATTTTTCATCAAAATTTTTTATCGAGAAGAGGCAGTTGTCAGAGTTTGCCATTCAGGATAGGAATCAGAATATAAGGTAAAACTTCCATTTGATAAATAACATGCTGTCATGGCAGCGATACGCACGCGTCTGATGACGCTACTGAAACCGTATCACCTACTCAAAGGCCACATGAAGCTGCCCGTACAGTCCACTTACCAAACTGCAACGCACCCCAGTCTTCTGCTGAACCAGTGTTGTCACTTTTTTTTGGTGGAAATTTCCCTAGTCTACTTTCAGAGAAAGATGAGTTTGAAAACGACACATCCTCTTGCGAACCGGATGTTATCATCGGAACCAAAATTTGGTTGTCACCGTGCCTTGAAAATAAAAACATCAACCAAAGAGTATAAAGTGTTTTGAGAGGACCGTTCAAACGCAAGGGTAGGCAGCTTACCACTTGCGGTTTGGAAACAATTTTAAATGTACATTCTCACCTCGCGAGACGTTCCTTGAGACCTCGTGGATATGCATTCAACTGAATTGCCTTAGGACATTAATTGGCGTTTGTTACTAACAGATAAATTTAAATCCAAGCTAGTTTCATGATTCTTTGTATAGTTTTTGGGGCACTTAACACAGTCCTACTCAAGTGATAACGTCATCTTAGCAGGTGAATAAGTTTTCGGGAATCGATTCGGTGACACTTCGACCGCCATTCTTATAAAATTAAGGTCATTGCAACGTTTTTCTTGCCTTAACAGAGGGTTATGGGTTGCGACAACTGAACCTCTCTCCCACCCGCAGTGACGCCATTTTAGAAGTACTTTTTGTTAACAACCCTGAACAAGCGAGCGCAATAACCTTCCTAGACTTCATCAGTGATCGTGCGGTTGTTCATGTCCAGACTAATTTTACCATCAGAAAGTGGCAGGATAATAAAAATCAAATATGCAAATAAACCCGGGCGAAGCGTTAAGCAATGCATTTTTCACTAACTTAATTTTTACCGGAGTTCATGGTTACCTATTTATCTCATTCAGAAGAGAAAAACTGGATGCTAATCAACGCTGCATTTCACAAATTAGTGCAGTCGACGTCCTAAAGTTACTATTGGAACAGACTTCTTTTTCCACAATGGTTCATGAATGTACTGAAACGTATGTTAAACACAAAGAAAATACTTGCAGCAACCAAAAAGCACTAACAGAGATGATGCATGGTAAGGACATTATAATTGGTCAACGATTTATAAAAACAAAAAACAAAAAAAGAAATGAAAACATGAACAGCGACCTTTATCTCCAAAGCTCTCTAATGAATGCAATGCAGTATTTAAGGTGCGATCGTTTAAAATTCTTTATAATAACAATTCCATCCTCAGTTTCAGCTGCTCGTGGGACGTCCGCGATGTTCATGCCTTCTTTTTTCAACTAGGCCACGACTACTTTTGACAAAGGTGCAATGATACCTGCATCTTTGTGGAGTCTGCATAGATGCAGGGAATTTCAAGATCTTCCGCCCGGACTTCCTTTCTGTTGTGCTGACTTCTGACCCAGAGCTCCACCCGTCGACACATTTTGTTCTTTCTAGCTGATTTTTCACCGAAGGTGAAGATCCTTAGCTCTTCTTCTCCCAACACCTTTAGCTGCCGCTTATCAAAGGCGTTGCGCTGAATGAATAAACACTGGCTCTCATAGTCAAGAAGAAGCCTGACCAGAGTGCGCTTTTGTAGCTCTTTGCCCATGCTCTTGCTGTCTGAAGGAGAATCGGTGTTTTTTTTTTCTTTCCTTGCGTCGCAATCTTTTACACTACAGATTGTTCATGTACCTCCCTGACCTCTGTGGCTGCGTCGCTCTCTTTTCTGGCACCATCGGAACTCATTATGTCGGGGTCACATATAGGGGTTAAATGTCTCTCCGAGCAATGCGAGCATTTGAGCCATGTGGTCAAGCGACAGTTTATCGATCGGTGACATATCCTGGCACAGCGGAATTAACGGATCTTATGTTTCAGCATGTTTCTTCAGTCTGAAACTGACATCTCGGAAGAACAGCTGTATGAAGCGCTATTGCCTGGGCGGCAAAAAACGGATTTCCTCTCGTCCTGGTTGGTCATCACGTTTAAGGTCGCAGCGGACGAGAAGGCGGGTTTTGCTTTGTACCTGATCCCTTCTTGGTCAACAGGGTCGTCAGTCTGCTGGTTAATGGCCGCTCTATGCCCGGCCTCGACGGCCCGTGCCTGGCCTTTCGGTTTATCTGCCAATTCAGTATTTTCGTGTAATTCCACCTCTTCTCAAGAATCACAAAGCGTCTCTAATTCTTCATCCTGTTTTGTTTTTCCACCTTGGCTGCAATAGAATTCAATTAGCAAGTACGTCCTTCCTCAGAACTGAGCAGCACTCCGTACGCCCATGAACTAACCCCAAGCTTCATTAAGACGTCTTACTCCCTTGTGTATGTCGTCAACCGGGGCGCGAATTTGGTCCACGATTCCTGAATCATGCACCTACTGCAACTACTCTCTGAAGACCGAGCGCAATTTCGTAGTTCTCGGCAGTGAGATCGAGCCCTGACCACTTCCCGTAAGCGAACTGGTCAGGTATTTGCCTAATTGTCTCCGTTTGATAGGTTCGGATTCGCTTTGATCGTCCAGTCAAACTGACTCCATGACCTTTGCAACGATCAAAGCTCGGTTCCAAACTTCAAGATTTTCAACAAAGAGTTTTACCGCGAGGCTTGTGTACACGACGCTCGCGGCTCTTTGTACTTGTTCTGCGGGTGACGTGCTCTTCGCCGTCGAAGTCGTCGACCTTCTCTCGTGCATGCATTCAGTCAACATGGCCTTTACCTTAGTCTTCGCGATGCTTACCTCTTTTTTTTCTTTGTACCTCTCGTAGCGTGCGATTTTCTCTTTTCAAACTTCGTCATCGACGCCTTACTTAATTTAGCGGTCAAACTCTTTAAGTACGTCTTCCTTTAGCGCTGGGTCAAGTCTTCCTTTTCAGCCGGTCGGCGGGTGCCGCTCCCGTACCATCTTGTCAGTACTTATGTCCGAGTGTTAGCAACAAAACGTTTGTAAAAATTCAAGACTGAGACTTTTTTTAGGGGAGTGAGACACAGGAAGGTACTGTCGTTTTGGAACATATAAAGAAGACTGATTTATGGATCTAAGACATTTAGGGGCAGGACGTTTTGGGGCGGAATTTTCGGTGCATGGATGTTTAGGTGTACGGACCTTTTGGCGTACGGACTTTTTGGTGCCTGGATTTGTCGGTGTACGAACGTTTAGGTGCATACCTTTTGATATTATGGTTATGTTTTATTGTCTTTGAACGTGCGTCGCTTATTTTATTATTTATGCTGCTTATACTTACTTCTTCATAGAAATTTGTGTAGCCCCTTGGTATGGATGACTTTCATCATTGCCTTTACGAATGAAAATTATTTTATTGGCTATTGTTTCTTCTGTCTTTATGTTATCAACGCTGTATATATCATAATGTAATCTGGCGACCAACCACTGACATAAAAAAATACTTTTCGTTCAACGTTCGAACGGACTGGTCGGCCCTTTGTTCGTGCCCTCAGGGCACTACATAATGGCGACAAGTGAAGACCGTTGAGGAACACTGTCGGGACTGCTACTGCCTGCTGTGGTCTCTGCCGGTGAACGGACTTCGTGTTCAACTACAGTCCGTAAACACCCCCGTTCCTTGCTCGCTACGCCGAGATCAGCCTGCGTGCGGCAGTGGAAGCTAGCCTTCCTAAACTCCTTGGAAGCCGTTGGCGGTGATGACTTTGTTCCAAAACGCAGCAAGGCTTTTCTGCTCAATGCGCTGGGCCTGGAAGGACAGCGGATCTACAATAGTGTGGCACCGACTGCTCCGGTTTCGGCGATCAAAGAAAAAGAAAAAAGAAAGAGAGCCACCCAAAGGGTATGACGAAAGCCCGTATTCGAGGAAGCATGGCCGTGTTGGACAACCACTTCTTGACTACGACGAATGAACTGATGGAACGACATCGTTTTTGTCAGCGCCTTCAAGTGCCAGGTGAAGCCTTTGAAACTTACGCAGCCGCTCTGCGAGAGTTGTCGTCGGACTGCAACTTCTGAGAGGCAGCTGACAAGACCATACGCGATCAGTTGTTAGAGAGGACTGCATCGCAGCAGATACGCGAGCTCCTGCTCTTCGAAGGAACGAGTCTGACACTAAACCGCGCCCGTGCGACTGACCTCGGCAGGCACATCGAGCAGACTCAGCGAGAGCTGAATCAGTTTGCTGGAGACCCCGTCGTCCAGCGAGTTGTCGACAAGCCGACGAGTCAGAGTACCGGAAGGGCGTCGATTGCGACGTCCTACAGTTGCGGTTTGACTGCGCACCGCGCGATTGCGAAAGAATTCCCGGCCAGAGACAAAACATGCCGCAACTGCAACAAGCGAGGGCACTTTGCTGCGGTGTGCAAATCGAAGCGGAAGAAAGAAGGTCGGCTGCAAAATCACGCAACGAAAGAATTGTCGGCGGCCACTAACTCTCTCACGATCTTAAATCTGAACCCTGACAACACGCGGAAGAAAGGCATCTACGTTGACATCTACGTTGACATCGACGTTGACATCGACGTTGACATCGACGTTGACAACATGACGTTGCAGTTTCTGGTCGAGACTGGTTTGTCTTTTTCACTTCTGAGTGAAGACATCTTCCACAAGCACTTCGCTGGCCGACTCGAACTTTCATCGTTTCATTGTGAAGAATTTGGAGTCCAAAACAAAACAGAATTTTTGTTAGTTCAAGCTTTCAGACAATATTATTCTAAGGGGGAGTATACATATATATAGACACAGAGAGAACTTGGTTTATAGAGAAGTCTAAGAACAAATGTAACCACACGTCACACATTATATGGGGATTCAATTGATTAAAGTCACTACTGTTTGTTATAAAGAGTTAGGAAAGTACCTGATGATTCTTTTAATGCCGGCTCAGAAATTGTTTTCTTTTTGTTCTTTTTATTTGAACCGGTGCTCGCCGTCTTAGCCACACGCTCCCCGTCTGTTTTACCCAAGAGAAGGCACAGCTGCAGAGGAAAGGTTGCGCTGCTTTCAACTGACCAGAAGATCTTTGAACAGACGCACACTGGGCGGCACTGTTAGGATGATGATGATACCATAGCTGTGCAGCATATTGCTTATACAGGCTTGAGTCGAGCACCACGTTATATCTTCTTTTTCTTTTTTCGATAATGGCGTCTCGTCAGCTTCGAGTGTGCACGCGTAGTCAAGGCACAAGGGAGATCCACGAGTGCGTGCTGGAGGCAGGGCGTCTAAAAAAGACGTCATGCTGTTTAAATTTTGTCCATGACTGTAGTAGGTTTGATCACAACTTTTCAGCCACTGACATATTGAAAAGAGTAACGATGGCCCGTTTGTGCTACTTTATGAGTCCATACGGCTGATCCTTTCATTGGTTTTAACCTACATACGTGGGGATTTGTTGACACGGCGACGCGAGGTCACTTTGACAAACATTTACCTTAGCGAATCCTCGGAGCGCGAGAGCATAGCTTTGGTATCAGCTCGTGTCGCGTGAGAGTTTCTGCGGCCGATGTTTGGCCTAAAGCTAAGAGCACATGCTTCTGGTCTTTATGGCATGGCATGGCTGGTTTACACAGCCCCGTTTTCTGACGTTTTCTTACGTTGCGTAGAAGTCACCGAAACATTCATGTCTCGAATGTCGCGTGCCAGGCTATCCTTGTACGTGCACTTTCGTAACGTAACCTAACTTTAGAAAAAGGGGCTTTGTGAAGCAGCCTTTAAGGTAAAATGGAACATAGTGATGCATCCAGTGCAAATAACTGAACCAATCTTAATGGTGCGTTTACACTTGCGAAATCGAGGACAGACTCGCGCGGGCGGAAAGTTGATTTTTGAGCCGCGTTGCACAATCGACTCGTCGCTGGCGGAAAGTCTGGATACGGGTCCCGGAATGATCCATACTTTCCGCCAGCTACGAGTTGATCTCGCCACCCGGCTCCGAATACCGCTTTCCGCCTGCGGCGATCCGTTCGCGAAGCCGCAAGTGTGATCGCGCCATTAGGCTTCTTTTAGACTGCATTTACATTCCGGAGTCTTGTGCATGTAATAAAATATTAAAAAAAAACAATTAATAACATTATACTTTTTATGTATTAAACCTTGCAGAAAAATACGATGCTGCCAAAGAAGATCCAACGAAGGGATGCCAAGGAACAAACATTGTTATTAATGAAAACGTAATATATTGCTCTTTTTTATTCATGTTGAAGTCCAAATTAGCTAGTAGGGCAGGGAAATTGATTGATTAACCTACCGCCTAATTGATCAATGCTTTAATCGTGATTATATCTTTTAACCGGTTAATCGGTAAAATCTTGACGAACCAAAATGAAGTAAATATTAAACGTTTTCATCACGCCATCATGGACGAGTACACCTGTTTGAGGGCAAATTTTGGTCAAATTTTCGAATAAGGTAATCTGTATAAGCGAGATCTGTAGCTTTCGACAAGTGCGGAAGGTCACGCGTGTCCCGGCCACTTCAACGCCGTGCGAGTGTCCGTTTAGCGCAGCAGAGACTATTGTGAATAATCAAAGGAGTTCACTATTGCATAGAGAATATCAACGAGCCTCTTTGCCTCATGCAGCTGAAGTATTATTCTGTGAGTGTGGGCGTTTTAATTGTTCTCAACTACATATCGAGTCTGATTCATAATCCAAGATGTGTCTGCGCCTCTTATCACGTACATATTCAGCACAGCGAAATCAAATATATTAAATTTTATTTACTAATGAATTGCATAAAAATGAAGCAGACCAATTAATATATTAATTAATCAATTAAGAGGTGGCGATTAATCGGGCTAACGCTTTTAAGTGACGCCCAGCCCTACAACTAGTAATAATGTGCAGCCGAGCCTTTACAGTGTTCATATGTTTTGTCTCAGAAGATAGGGCCGCAAAATGCATTGAAAATGATTTATATTACTAGTCTGACGCGTAAACTCAAGGGTAATCTCGGGTAGTAGACGCCATAATATAATTCAATCGCTTGATTTCTAGCCCAATAAAATCTTAAAACAGAAAAGACACCCTTTGTAACGGTGAGGATTGCACTAGTAACTGGCGCGAACTGCCGCCTTTGTATAATGTTTTAATCTCCCGCCGACAACTATGGAGAGCTCAACTGACATACCTCTTTGGCCGTTTCACTGTGTCTTGCTCTTTTAATGCAAAGGCATTAACTGTCCCATGGAAAAAAAATTGGGTTGTGTGTATGTTGATACAGCCTAGAACTTGATCTGCCTGAACGGGCAACGAGTCTCCCAGCTGTAGATGATCAATTTAGCCAGTGCGGTACAACCGTTAGCTGGGGTCTTTAACGTGCATTACGCATTAGGGATACACGGCCGCAAACAAAGCAAATTGTTGTGTGTATGTTTATACAGCCGGAAGTTAGTCTGCCTCAGTGGGTGTCTTGTGTCTCAGCTGTAGATAAGCAATTTAGCCAGTGCGGTACAACCGCTAGCCTGGGGTCTTTAACCTGCACCACGCAGTAGTGATACAAAACCGCACGCCGGTACGATGCTCATCCAGATCGAAAAGGGCAGGGGCGGGTATTGAACCCAGGATCCCTGGGTTCTGCAGCGCGAGCTTTCGCTCCACCTTCTCTGAGCTGCTGTGCGCTAGACCACTCGACCAACGAACCCCCCAAAGGATAAAAGAAAAACAACAAACATGGAGCGAAGCCGGTTTCTGTAACAGCGAAACGACACCTAATTTCCCATTGGCTGCGACGCATCATGTGGCTCCAAACATAGCAACGGCGTCATCGTTGCTAAGGAGGCAGACGAACTGCTGCCTGCGCAGCGCTTGCCTGACGTTAGGCCGCTCAGTCGTATGCTCAAGGACGACGCCGTTCTTGGCGTCGTCCTTAAGGTTGTCCTAGAGGTCGTCCTAGACGCCGAACTTGGCGTCGATTTCTAGGACGTCGTCCTTGACTTCGTCCTATACGTCGTCCGAAACTTTAATACGTGTAGAAACATTACTCGAAAACATTTCATAGGCGGGACAATAATATTTTCGCAATCCTACACGTAATCCTACACTACAGCTTTAGTGCCCTCCTGTAATATTTTTCCGAGTCTGGTTCAGAGAAAAATTTTTGCGTTTTGATTTTGTGGTTAGCTCTTGAGTACTAATTATTCTTTTAAAATATTGAAAGAAACATTTGCGATGTTTCGAAAGCAAGCTAGAATGCGAAGAACACTATTCCTAGCGACATTTCTAGTGTGTGCCGTCAGTGTCGTCAATGCCACTTCAAGGTATAGGCTTGCGGAACGATGGCTTTGGACGAAGATAGTAGCGAGGGTTTAAAAATGCACTCCTGTGAGTGTTGTTTGAAGGTTCCCTGAGGAGGTCTCTGAGATCGCCTAAATACGGTGATAACTCACTCTGCTGACTCTAAGCATCCTAGAAATCCCTAAATCATGTTGATAGGCACGTCGTGGCACCATTCCTTTGCTTGACACGGCAAACATCGGTTTTGTCGTTGTGCCGGAAAATGATCTTTGTGGAATTTCTGTCTGCTGCACCACACACAAACTAGGACAAATAAGGTTCGACGCATGTATGACGTAGTGATGCCATGACAACGTGTTGTGTCTCGCCGCCGCGCGAGGATCTTTCACTTTCAAAGTCAGAGTGACGGTGGCCAATTCTACGAACTGTGCTGCCAATCTAGCGGTAAGAACGTGCCCCGTAACCTCGCGTTCCGCGAGTCCCTAGGTCACACCGAAGAGAGACACGCCCTCACTAGAGCCCTCTGATGTGTCCCTCTCACAAGCGGCATCAAATCCTCAAATACGCCAATGCACGAGCCCGTGCCTCGTGCGACGCTTGGAAGCAAATCGAGGCGCAGCACCAAAATGAGCGTCTATGGAGCGGCCCGTGAAAGAAAACTGCGGTGCGGCTCTCGCTCGTGTGTCCCGTGGAACGTGTCTCTCGCGTTTGCCAACAGTGATTGTCGGTACTTGTAAGATACACCAAGCGTAAATTTTATCCAGGGACTTCAGCTCACAGCGCTGGTTTGGCTTCCCTGACTTCTATCGGCCGCTTGACATCTCGGTCATTTTTTGGCCCATCTTATGTTTGCAAAACAGCAAAAAAAAAAAAACAACAACAACACAACGAGCACTCTGTGGCATATCTCAGTGTGAGAGCTCTGGCTATATTGCATTTATTATCTATCTTTCTAGAAATGCCATGTTTTTTTTTTTACATTCAGTACACGCGTGAACCAAAAGCGGTGTTGATGATGAACTCATGACAAGCGTGAACGAAATCATCCAACTCAGCTCTTTGATTCTACGGCGTTGAGAAGCTCAAGGAGAAAGAGGACGCAAGTTCGACCGAGTCGACGCTCTACGTGACTTGCACGTAAAGTTCTTAACCCATGCCGTTGTGTGTTCTGCTTCTTGCAAAAAAAGAAAGAAAGATAAGCAACTGTACACAGTTTACGCTGCAGAAGACACATGCTCAGCAACAATGCCATCACGATAGCAGCATGGTGTGAAGTCAGTGCAGGCAATAGAACCGCTGTACTCGTGCCTTCGGCTTCGGTTGCACTTATGGTGAAATATACACCTTCCAAAAATGACGGGCCATTAAAAAAAAAAATCTGATCGACTCTCATAGCCTTTTCTATGCTGACAATGCCTGGCAGATCGCCACGAGACGCGGCCGCCGGAATGGCGGCAGACAACGGATGAAAGGAGAGCCATGTGACGGGCGCCCCGCTGCGGCGAGACGCCGAAACACACTTCTCCCGAGCAATGGACTGTTCGCTCGTGCTCCTCGCGTTTTTAGCGCTTGCGCTTTGTTTCTTGGCGGGATTGAAAGTCATGTTTCGGATTCTCGCCGCCCTAAAAGCTGTGTGCTCACTACGAGCTTCCCCGAGAAATGCTCTCTGATACCAGATCCTCGCGCTCCGAATCTGCGACCGGGCACTCTATGGCTCCGTCGTCGAATTGCCAGGTTTTGTGACTATAGAGGAGGCTATGTCACTTTGCAATGGTGGAACAACAGACACCGCGAAACGTGCAACTAGCGCGAGTGGGTAGCTACGACTTGTGCTCCCGCTGGGCGAGGGCTCGTGCAATCAGGGCGCAATCGAACGCAAGGATCTCGGACCCTTGTCCACCATTGTGCAGGGACTCTACAGCTTCCAACAGAGGGCACAATTTCGAAAGGGGGCTTGAGTACATAGACGCTTTAGGCACGCTCCAGATTCCACCCGCCATTGCTGCTTTCTCTTGTCTCACCGAGATATGGGAGTTAACGAGCCTTCACAAAGTTCAATGCTGGGAAGGACACATATAATATAAAATGGCAATAACCTTACCTTCTATGGAAATAAGTAAGTGAAAAATTAGGAATAAGAGAATATAAAAGTGGAAGGTATATGTGATGGCGGCGGGCATTCACAGTTGCCGAGACGCGCAAAAGTTCATGTAATCAGCAAACACATAAAAAGTGGGTCACTGAAGCGCTGAGATGTATCATACGGACGCTCAAGCCATCAAAGTCAATCTAGTACTGAGAGGATCTGACTGTCCGGGTTTAACGGTCTTAAGATTCCCGGAGCTCAAGGTCACGTGGTGATGGATCAGCTGTGATAGTTACTCTGGAACAGCTCGTGGCATCGACCGCATTTATATACATCTGAAAGTGAAAGAAAGGCGCGCGGAAGCGCCAACAAGGCATTGCGCATTGTTATGGCATCCCTATGTCCTACATGCATTGTCTCAAAACCATTCTCCAGACGGCAAGAAAATTTCGCAGTTCTCTGGCAAAGCCGTTGGGTGAAGCCGATCTCGGCCGCATTCGGTGTCGAGCACACTAATGACGCACTTGCAAACGCTGAAAACCTGAGTGCACTACCAACGCACAACATCAGCAAATAGGATGTTGACGAAATACTTTTGAATGGTCACTGATCAAGACCTTTCAATGCGAAAGCATTAACTGTCCCATGGAGCGAAGCCGGCATTGTCTGTAAGCGTATGTAGCAGCGAAACGGTAGCTAAATTCCTCTTTGTAGCAGCGAAACGGCAGTTGAATTCCCATTGGCAAAAAGCACGGCAGAGGAAATCCCATTGGCCAAAAGCAGAAAACGCAAATGCTTCGTCACAGAAGTCGGCGAGGCGCTCAATGTCAAAGAGGACGGGCCTCAGAATTAAAACGCAAAGAAAAGCAGAGAAACGCAGATGCATCGTCACGGAAGGCGTGGAGCCGGCAGTCTTCCCCGCGCCTGCGCAGTGGAGGAGCGTGATGTCACCACCAGAGCGCATGTGGCTCCATAGCAATGGCGTCATCGTTGCTAAGAAGCCAGCCCAACTGCTGGTGGCGCAGCGGGAAAGGGGGGGGGGGGGGGAGCGCTGTGTGCGAAAGGAAGACGTCGCGCGCTGCTTATAGGAATGCGCTCTGTATAAGAATGCTTTCACATTCCTGCACGTAAGCAGTCTTAAGTGTCCTCCTGTAAGTTTTTTTTGTGTGTGTCCTGAGCCCATGATTATAAGAAAGAAGGAATTGTGCCGCTACCAGAATATATGAAGCGCTCGAGCGGGCACGGGAGTACATCCGAAAAGCCCTGGAATTTTTCTTGTTTCAAGGTCTCCTGAGATATTCTGGAAAGGTCTATTTATACCGCAGTAACTTTTTGTTCGTTGTGGGGTTATCTACAAATTCCTTTTCATCAACGAAATAAAACACAACCCTAAAAATAAAAGGTGATATGATCAAAATATCTAAAATTAAATGAGTCTAATGTAGACCTTGGATGGATCCTATCATAAATTAAAACTTCTAATGAATAAATGCAACTCATTTGTTTTTCAGCTGACAGTAGCGTCGCCGTGCACTGCGTTATGCAACGACGGCACAACCACGCCCAGAAAGGAGGAACTACTGTGCCTTGTGAGTATTTTAAACTTCAAAGGAAATTAATGATTCACGAGCCATTAATATACCCTTAGATTTTGCACATATATACCTCTAAGTTCTCGCGCGGTGCACGGTCGTAAATAATGCCCCGCTCGCCAAAGAGATTTAAGTTGCCCGTTTTATTGCACCGCGCTCTTTATAATATATGTTTAGGTATCAAGGTGAATCACTTTTAAATACTTTAGTCGTTTTTACAATTACATCTGCATATTGTTGTTTGAAAGTGTTTATTCATTGACTATTATTCTTGTTCGCTGTACAGGCTCGTGTTTTTCCAGTATCAACCTTTTTACGGCTAGAATTTAGTAGTTTTGATGTAGAACACTGCTCACCAAACTTTAACAGAATACACAATTGTGTCTTTCTCATGAAAGTACTGCTCTGACGGCAGCCGAGCAACGACTTTGTGATGTAACACTGAACGAACAATCACGAGGTGCTACGTCAAGAAGCTGTTGTTGAGCTTTATCCAAAATAGTGCTAACACGAGAAAACACGCAGTTCAAGTGTTCCATATAAGTTTGGTGAGCACTGTAAATCTAGAATAACGACCGAGAAATCTTAGCATGCACATAAAGGTTTGCCCAAGTTTCTGTCGATTTTGTTGTACTCTCCTTCAAAACCAGTCAAGGACAAATGCAAGCAGAGGTATTGCTGTGTACAGAATTGATATATTGTGAAAATCTAAGTTAATGTCCAGTGCACTGCCCTGGTATTTTTTTTAATATGCACTTTTGAGCTCGGTGTCAGATAAATTGTATTTGTTTTTTTCTTTTTCGCTCTTACAATTGTATAAATAAAAAAAAAACATCAACAAAAACAACAACATTGTGCTCAGCAATGGTATACCTACCCAGTTAAAACCACGGCCGGAATGAAGTGAAGGGGTGCACTGGTTCAGGACCTTCGCATGAGGGGTTGTTTCTTTCTGCTGCCGCAGCTCGAAGGGATCCTTGTGACGCTACCCTTCCAGGAACGCCTTAATTTCTCAGAGTTTTCCCCCGACATCTCAGTGTTCGTCTCTTTGCTTCGGGGTTGAAAGGAAAATATTTTAAGACGGGGTGGGCCAAGGGGTCCTGAGGCCGTCCATTTCTGGGAACTTATGCGCATCAGCCTTTCCTCTTCGTTTTTTTTTCTCAATAAACTATTTATTTATTTTAAATACCCTCAGGGCCATGAAGGTATTGCAGGGGAAGGGGGGGGGGGGGGTTAGAGGTTTATATTAAAAAATCACAACAAATTAAAAATATATAGGCGAATAATTAGCTATTTATAAACTACTAAAATAGCGACATTGTTAAGACAGTTTTAAATGCGGCGCTATAAGACAGTTCCAACTAGTCTTGTACACGCTACTGGAAAAAATAATCGATTACAATTACGATTACTCTTGCTTAAGAAGTATTTAATTAGCCTACTTGATTATTTGAGAAGGAAAGTAATGGGCCGCTACTTGAAAATGTAACCGTTACCTCTTCCATGATAATAAGGCAATTAAATGCAAAGGTTCAAGCGAGCTGGCCCTTTGAATATAATTGCCTTATAATCATAACCTTAACCCTTGTTAAGGTTATGTTTCACCCAACCAAGGGTGAAACAAGGGTGAAACCTTTGTTTCACCCTTGTTGGTGTTAGACTGGTGGCGGCTGATAAAACCTGTTTGCTCTACTGACGTTTAACCCCTGGTTAGCTCAGTTGGTAAAGCGCTCCACAGAAAATGGAGAGGTCCGGGGTTCGATACCCGGACCAGGCGGAGTTTTTTGGTCGCGCACCAGTCACCTAGCTGTGTTTGGAGATTTGTGTTTGTCCTTTGACCCCCTTGTTCCCCTTCTCCAGGGATTACTTTCGCCACTTCTTCCATTACTTCAGATTTTTAGACGACAGAGCTTCCTGCCGGTTTGAAAACAGACCTTTCGTGCGGTCCATTATTGGATTGAAATCCTCGAATTATGAACAACGTAATTCACAAATTTTGGTAAACCATACTCCTGTCGGAATCTTGGTTCGAAGACTTCCTGGTTTGAAACTTGTAGAAAAAAAGGACGCCATTAGAAACGGGAGAGAAAAAAGCAACCGTTAAAAATAATTTTAGTACTTGCAAAGGTGATCAGATTACTGTTGTGATTGATACCTAACAAATGTAATCGAATGATTACAAATATACTCCAGAGAGTAATCAATTACAAGTAACTTGACTACTTGTAATGAGTACCGTACAAGTCTGGTTACAAGATAGTTTCATGGAATTGGGGTTCGGAGTTTGGGACTGTGAAAAGTTCGTTTTACACGATGGTATGCCTATCTTGTTTAAATGACCGGGACGCGATAGGATGGTATTAGTAGTTTAAAAAGGAGTTATTAGAAGCTTTTCACGTAATGAAAGATTGTTGTAGATTTTGTGAAACAAAACACAAACGAGAATGCTCTCCACGTGATACAAGGTTAATCAGACTCAAAGTAAATTTCATAGATGCTACGCCAGCAGTGGGGTGATAGCTAGTATGAAACGAACAGATCCATTTTGAATTGCCTCAACTGCAGATGTTCATTTGTCAGTCCGGGATCCCAAATTGAATAGGCGTATTCTAGTTTGGATCGAACGAGGGTTCCATAGAGGAGTAGCTTTAGAGATATGGAGGTGATATGGAAATATGAGATATGAACCTAGTGTCTATAAAGGAGCGTTCTTTTATAGTAAGTTAAAACAACTTTAAGTTGTGCACTAAAGTTAGGACAAACATATTGTCACTGTTTTTAGTCACGGTGTTGGAGCAGTTGTTCAAGGTGGCTCTGGCATTAGTGGAAAGGGTCTCCCCCTTGCGGCTTAAACCTTATCCCACCATTCCTATACAAAAGCGAAGGACACATGGAATGCCAGCCTCTAGACCTTGTGTAAAGACACAGTGCGCGATCTTCCAAATCTAGAGGCACTTTTTTACCTAACAATGCTTGGACCAGTGCTTGCTCGAAGGGCTCATGGTTTTTGAATGTGACATTTTCACTTGGACCAGGTCTCACCCTAACGGTGTCAGATTTGCGTTGGTCACTTACATTTAGCAATACATGGTAAACTCTTGGCTACTCACCATTCGCAATCTGTGGCGGAGCAATAAATATATGTCTCAGATTGCCTTTGCACTTGACCACACACGGTGGTCATTACCAGTAACAATATATTTGACACCACTATCAGCCAGTAATTTTTAGGTAGCCGTATTCCCATATGTAAATAATGTTGTTACAGCGACCATTGACTTGTTCATTTGCAATATCTGAAAAAAGGGAAGCAGGGATGGGAATAAAATTTGTTCTTTAAAGAAGTGATGCGCCGAAGTGGAAATTGTCCATGACCAACGTAAACAATGGCAATAAGGTATTTGTCCAGAATAAAAAAAAAAAAAAGGTATCAACATCACGACTGTGAGCGATTCGTGCTCTCTTACTGAGGACGCTGTGACTATTTGAAACCTCTGTGTGCTATCGCGGAACAAGCGGGTGTGTTCTAGGCTTTCCAGAAGTAGAGCTGGTTCAGAAAATAGAACAAAGTGGCGTCCGTCACCAATTGTAGCGAAGTGGTAAAAAATACGACCTCGACGTTCCAGGACAAAAGTGTAATTAATGCATTACTGCGGCTTGCGCCCACTTTCGAGAATAGCCAATTTCAACTCGTGGTTAGTGCACAAGCCTCAGCACAATTACGAAGAAAAATAAGCAAAAAAAAAAAAAAAAAGAAAAGCACGATTAAAACGACGAAGGGCAGAGAGAATACACAAACAAAACGCTGAAACATAGTAAAAAAAAACGATAAGTACGACGAAGTAGAGAGAAGTGTACTGCGCTCAGTCTCTGTACTCTTCTTTGTCATTCGCAGTTTTTATTCTCTGTTTTTTGTAATCATGTTTAACCAACTCGCCGAGCCCTACACTGTCCTCATCACAAAGCCGACTTGCTTGCAACAACTTTAGCAGGCGCTGCATACTGCTGAAGCATAGCACAAGATATATTTTTTGTCACCGGCATGCCTGGTATAATTTGTCGGCGGTTCGAAGTCTAACTTATCGAGTTCCAAAATTTGTAACATGGGCTCATTCTTGCCTTAGTTCAATCTTTTCTGCAAGATATCCAACTTATTTGTTTGTCTCAAATTTTCTTCGCGTCCCTTTGAAGGGCCAGCTTTCTAATACATAATTGCATTTTGTAGAATATACGTTATTTCTTAGCATGTAACTTGGTACTCGTTTTATGCGTTGTCGATCATGCATTGATTTATTTTTCTTACAGTATCAGTTCTATAGGGAGAAGAAGCATGATATTTACAGCGTTGGGAAATGTCATTGTGGAGTCTGCGAGCCTCGAAATGATTACTTTGTAGTAAGCAACCGTGGGAACCCAAATGATTATGAAGAACAAGAACAGCCCACATGCTGACCGGGTTGTTCTAACGTGGTGCCGAAATGTGGGCTAGATAGATTTTTGCTTCATCTCCACCACAGACAGCGAAGAAAGAATAAATCAAAAGGGCCCCAATAATTTCTGGGCACCAGCCAGGGGAAGGGGGTACAAAGAGACAATAAATGCTCAAAAAGACAATAAATATAACTAAAATAATGTGTCCAACAACGAAATATTATTACTTGTTTTAATACTGCTTTGTCTCTTCACACTGCTTTAAAAAAACAATATAAACGGCCAGCCGAAACAAACATTTTAGATTTTTAAGGCCGCCTAATTCTCTACGTTTATAATTTTTTTTTCGTTCTCTCTTTCTCCTGTTACTACTTTATGTTGTGGCAACTTTCACTTTACACTCACCTCTTTCATACAAATTAGTAAAAACATATAGACGCTTAATTACTCTCCCAGAACCCTTTATATATTAATGCTTTTTATTCCCTCTTTCTTTTTTCCACGCAAAGCGCACATGCGCACAGACACCTGAATGTGTCGCCTTCACGTTGACCTGTCCTTTAACGTGATAGACTTCGACTTCCGTGTGCCTGCCTTTACAAGTGTAACCTCTTACATGCTTAATTACGAATTAGCGCAGAGGTAGACAGTTATTGTAACTGTCCACCTGTGCGCTGGTTCGTAATTCTGCCTCACCAACTCGCTCAATCTGCAGTATTAATTCTTACATACATACGTTTATTGCACAATAAAGGAGTACATAAATTCCTAGGCCCACAAAAGCACGTGCGTGCTTCTGGGTGGGACACTGTTGCAATGAAAAGGAATAGTGTTATTACTCTTGCACATAACGTACCAGCATGCTTCCTGCCATAAAAACAAAAATAAACTGCTTCAAGCCTTGAATAGGTACAGGCGAATGACATGTTACACGTTAGAAAACCCAACAAGTTACAAACTCTGTAAATTTAAAACTAAGAAAACCACAAGATGCAAACACTTACACAGAACGACGTGCCAACTTACTTCGAAGTCAAAAAAAAAAAAATCGCAACGGTCACAAATTTGGCTATGCATCACGGATATTACACTACTCTCAGCTCTCTCTTAACAATCCTAAGTGACCACAAGTCCAGAAGTCCACCTGGCAACATGTTATTATAATGTGGAACATAAGAGAGGCCGTCCCCTTTTTCCGTAGTTTGCAAAAACCCTTGGCAGAACAAAACGTTCTATTGCCTCAAGACCCTTTGCTTTTTAAGGGGCTATTGAAACGTGTATGTGTAGTAATTGCGTACTAATATGATACAGACATACAATTTGTCAACTGGCAAGATCCGTAACGACCGTACCTTTAGATCAGTTTAAAGTTCAGATAATTTAGTTTCATACGTAATAATTCGCAGAATGATATGTTTCGCCGAATAATATGTACTTATTATTTATCATACGAGTAGGAACATAAACCGGTATACCGTACCGTAGTATAACCCCCCCCCCCCTCCCCCAGTGACTGATATATGTTACATCTAGTATGCGCATCGGCCAGAACACGAAGGCGGTATATACAACCGATAGCGTTCGTAGGCGTCTCGCCAGGTAGTCGCCATGCGCTACCCATGACAGATGTTCATCGAAATTCACGCCCAGATACCTTGTGGATGACGCATATTCTGGTGGTGCGCACCTGCATTTCTTACAAGTGGATAGGTTAAGAACTAAGGGGGCCAAACATTTTATAATTTTGTACAAGTTATAAAAGAACATTGTTTTTTTTTTGCTTTGTTTTTTTACGTTTACAAAACTTTGGTTGCTAGTGAACCACGCTATTGGTGCAATATTTCATTTTGAAAACACGATGTAGCTTCGAATTCCTCATCGCCAGAAAAAAAAATCATAGTGGTATCTTCGACGTACTAAGATACCCGCGCAAGGAAATGTGAAGCGTCGCAATTTCATTAACGTAGATGTTGAAAAGAGGTACCGAATATATCCTACGGGAACACCGTACCTAAATGTCCACAAACTTACTCTTAACATCACCCACTTTTCCTAGCTGTTGACGCCCTGAAAAGTAGTCAGTCAGGAAGTCAATATATGTGCCTTGGAAACACAAGTGCTTTAATTTATGTACAAGCAACAGTGGTCAATTCTATCAAATGCCATTTTCAGGTCTGGAAAAAGTTCTCACAATATTGTAGCCATCAATATTTTCGTGGATGTGATTGGACAGGTCTTCGAGTAGTGATTGTGTTCCTGTGTTTTGGCAAAAGCCGTACTGGAAATACAGCTAGCCTTGTTCGGGGATTTGTGTTTGTCCTTTGTCCGCCTTGTTTCCCCTTTCTCCAGGGATTATTATCGTTACAGTAAAAAAATACCTCTCACAGAAAGACACCATCGTTCTGAATACAAGCTTTTTCTAGATTAGAGATACCACGCGTGTCCTTTTTACTTCCTTTTTTAAATATAGGCCTTACAAGCAACTTTTAGGCCGCTGTGCATTCTACCCGTTGAAAGAGAGGAGTTAATTACTTTCAGCAGCATGTATTTAAGTTTGTTAAAGTCAGCCAAGATATCTCAGAAGCGAATACCATCATTCTCAAAGGCCTGGACCGCAGACATATAATTTATAATCAGTCTTAAAACATCTTCCCTCAATTGCGGCAAATAAGCTGAGTTGGCGCAACACCCCGCAAGACCGATGGACATATTGCTGTAAACCCTATTGAAAATCGCTCTGATGGGACTTCAGGATTTTTTTAAAGGGTGTGAAGGGGACTTCAGGAATTTCTGAGATGTTTGACGGGGGCACCGATATTTTCTGGTGGGTTCACTGGCCCCGTCAGAGGGTCTCCTGAAATGTCTAAAGTCCGCTTTACAGTGCCTTGAAATGTCTGAAAGCCTGTCAAGAACGTTTCTAATGGGGTCGGGAAAACCTTCAGGCCTCTTGATATGTCTGTGGGCAACGGCCCAGGTGAAAAAAACACATTTCGCAGAATTAATGAACATAGCTGCTTATTGCACGCTACGGGGGAAAAAATAAGTATTTGGAGAATGCCGATCGTGTGTGAGTACGGTCAGATTTTTATTACTGCTCTTCTATCAAATACGAGTGGGCTCCTGGACCCGTCTGTCACTGCCCGGGTGTTCGGTCGCGAAAGAGGCCACTGAGGGCGACCACCCCATGTGGAGAATTGACGAGCCGCGGGCCGAGTGGTGTTGGCCGAGCGGCGTTTTGAGGCGAACGCAATCCTGTCCGCTCGAGTAAAAAAAAAAAAAAAAAAAAAAACCAAGAAAAAAAAGAAAAGAAAAAAAAAAAAGCCGAGAGCAGTGCGCGCTTTCCAGGAACAGGGACGCACGCGGGAGCGACTCGTTCCGGGAACCGGTCCCTCCACGGGGGACTGTCCCCAAAAAGCAATCGCCCCTCTCCGCCTGGCGATGGGGAGAGGGTGCAGGGCTGCCAGGCCAGCGGTCGGGGGGAGGAGGGTGGTGTGTGCAAGCGGGGGAGGCCATAGCCATTTTCTCTCTGCTCGTGTGCGGTTCCGGTTATCCCACGAGCCGGGATGTTTGGAGCGGACCAATTTCCTCCAGGAAGGTGAGCATGCATGGTTTTGAGGGCTCGCCCCTTGGTCTGTTTTGATCCGTGCAGTTTCTTTCTTGATACCGCAGGTGAACCATAGTTCGGCGCAGGCCGCCTTCAGCACCGCTCGAGCGCCATTGTGTTCAGCGCATTCAAGGAGATGGTGGCCGGTGTCGGCTTACTCGCTGCAAAGCCTGGCAGTCGGGGTCAGCGTTCCACCGCATGTTGTGCCTGCGCACCGGGATTATGGCACTGTGGGTGTTGAGACGGTGGATGACGGCCGCTGTCCGGACTTGTTCCTTGCGCCTCTTCGTCCGTCCGACTTCAGACCAGCGAGCAAAGAATACGCCGAAGACGCCGGCGCGATGTCATCATGGACGAAACCGTGACTGTGCTCGGGATTTCTCAACGGCGGCGGGCGCTGCTTACGAGTTCGTGGTTTTCGCTAAACGTTCTTACTGAGACTGTGTATGTGTCTGTGAGGTGCACCTGCTCGGTTTTATTAGCTGAACTACCGTACATCAGGAATATACCCAGCGGCAATGTGAGTATTTTGAAAGGTATTTTTCTTTGTGATAAGGATGTCAGTTGTCCCTGTTTGATGTGATCCCTTTCGTCTACAGCTCCTTGCGCCGGGTTTGAACAAGCGTTGCTTTTCGAGTTATAATATGCATGTAAAACTAAATGTCGCCAATAAATTTTCAATGTTTTGACCTGCATTTTTGTCTATGGTTCACAGTCATTTGGGCGTCTAAAGGGTTGATGGGCTAAAGGGTCTGACGGGTTGAAGGGCTGTGGGGCTAAAGGGTTTTTCTATGGGGTATCCTTGAAGGGTTTTTCTGTAGGGTATTTTTGAAGGGTTTTGAAGGCCTGTGAGGTCCCATAATCCTTCAAGGCTGACGGGCCCTTTAGAAATATTTTCAATAGGGAACCCGTCATGTGGAGATCCGAAGCACTTCGAACAAATATTTAATTGAATATCTCTTACATAAAGACTGTACACCCGGTCTACAAAAGCTATTTTTTGTTGATTGGTCAATATTTTACAGCGAAGCTGTTATGTGCTAGGATGTGGAAAAAATGCGTCCAGGGAGGCCGCTGTACAAACGGGACGTTCTGCAGGGAAGAACCTTCTCTCCCGAAGCTGGAGACGGGGAGGGAAAGGGCCAGCGTTGGGTGGAAAGGGCGTCTAGAGAATGGGATTAGCCTCGGGGCGAGCCATCCTCTCGAGAGGGAGTGGGGACGGAACAAAGCTGCCGTGGGGGTTCCGGCTACCAGGTGGAAGATAAGCTTGTCAAAGGGCGACCTCGGATGCGAGGACAGGCACGTCAGAGAATTTGAATATAGCTGCTTGATTAGCCGGACGACCCAGTGCGGTCTACTGGTTCTAGAAGGTGACCCGGATGAAGAAAACTCGTTTTTCTCCAAAACTCTAAAAGCATTCTGGAACGTGAACTCTTGCCACAAATAAAAATAACACATACATGAAAAACTACGAAGGCATCTAAGCTTTCTCCTATGATGTGAGAATCCGTGAGCATTACAGGCAGAGTTATGTTGGCGCAACTTGCAATAAAGAAAGAAAAAAAAAGTTATGTTGGCGCGACTAGTCGTAACG